ATCCACCCACCCTGCAGCACGTCACCACGTTAACTACCGGCGTGTCACCCTGCGCGCCGATCCCGGCTCTCCGGCGCAGCTATGGCAAAGAACGGCATCGGACTTTGGTAGCTACACCAGCCAATTCATACCTCTGCACCGACGCGTAGTTTGGCCTCTCCGTGATATCAAAGCTGGAGACTTCGTAAATGGGTGAAGTACCAAAAAACCCAAAACCGAACAGCCAGATTGATCTGCTGCAATTAGCAGTGTACAACAGACCGTATGCGCCCAACACAGCAACGTGCTAGCAGTGCATGCATTGAAGCGCCGTTACCAGCAACCACCCTGAGATTTCCAAAGGAGCCCGGCTAAGCCAGCAGCTTGGGTCATGCCGACGTGCAAGGTGCCGGCTGGGCATCTTGCTCCAGCCTTCTGCACGCGCTGGATTTTTGCTAGGGTGTAGGTCTGCTCTGCTGATAGGGCAGAAACGTGCGGTTGCACCCAGGTGGCACCGCTCTGCTCTACAGGGTCGCCCGGGGAGAAATCCCTGCCTTGCTGAAGGCACGGTGAGCTCTGAGGACTTAGTGCTCCCCCTCAAAATCTTGCCTGCTCCTAGTTTTCCCTGAATACCTGTTTACCAGTAACAGATTTCCCACAAAAAGGAAAGTCGTATCTTTCAGAACGGTCGCACGGGCTGGTTTTTCAGAGGAGCTCAGCAACCCGGTCAGCTGAAGTCTGGCATTACAGGTCCTCAGCTCGGCTGAGAGATGCAACACGGTAAAGCACCATGCAAACGACCTCTACATTTTTGCCGATTCATGCCACAGACAGTGGCCTTGGGGGTTTCTTCTCCAGTTTTCCTTTTGTTTCTTGTATCACTGGAAACAAAAAAAAATCCAGGTTCCCCTTAACGCAATTTACTGGGCAAAACCGGGAGAACTGCTGATTAACTCCGCATTCTTTCTCCTGTTCAATCCAGCACCTCACTGACTACAAGAAGGAGAAACCTCTTCCTTTTGTGCAAAAGGAGTCCAAAGACACATCCCTTAGTAAGCTCTGGCTGTGTCGGCACCTCCGAAGCCAAGCGGAAGCTTTCCCATTGATCGGAGCAGCATCAGGCCCATTCTCATTTGCAACACTGATCTGCTCTCAAATACAACTAAAAGACAAAAGTGTTAATAAGAACAACTGCTCAGAGATGCTGTCTTTAAAGAAAATATTGATGCTTATACAACTTTGGCAGCCAGCAGATGTCAATCTTAATTTTTTTTCTTCTTATTTTAAATATTTCCCTGGTTAAGTTACTATACATCAGAATATTCTGCTAAGATAGCTGGAGCACTGACAGTTACATGAAACGTATACGATATACTTATCAAACATTTCATCCAACATCATGTAAAGCTCATACATATTTATAGTTTTCATGCAAAATGTTATGCAACAACAATGTTATTTTGTGCTGACGTTGATATTTGAAAATGTTGCATATGTCAGACATTGCTAGACAAAAAAATGTGGACATTTTGAAATAAATGCTACCTCTAAATCGCTAAAACCTACCACATCGCGCTAGGTATTATTTGGTATAAAGCTACACGTGAGAACTAGCTTTCTACTGCTACACAAGCAACTGCTAGACTAGAAAACCACTGAATAAAAGGAAGGAAGACTATTACAGTACTTGGCGGCTGTTTGGCCATGCCTTTGAGCATATGATTTATCATGTTAGTCTGCGTTTGAGGAGATGATGGTGGTCCAGCCGGTGGCTTAGGCTTGGACGGACGGGCTGCTTGTGCATGACAGAGAGAGACGCCAAAAGTAAAGAGACAAATGACTTCATAAACAGTGACAAAAAGATGGGAACTTCAAAAGGAACATAAGCAGAAATGATCAAATACAAATGGAATAAGCTGCTGGGTTTTTGCTTATCGGTACTTGAAGTATTACACGGTAATGACACCATCTGACAACACATACTCTAGAAGTCAGCAGATTCGAACATCCTACGGTACTGTGCAATCAGAAAGTTAAAAATGCAACACAAGTACAGCACTGCACTGCATGCAGCCAGGTGAGGAAACTGAAATAGGGTAATTCAGTTAAAACTCTGGCATTGAGAGCAGGTGAACTTAAAAGAATGACTTTAAGTCAGTGCCCCAGTGCTTAGGTACATTTAGCAATAGAATAATGAGCCACAGGAATTAATTGCTTTGCAAATATCAATTACACATTTTAGAATTAAACGTCACTGTTGGTTAAAGGGAGCTATAAAATATTCTTGTGCAATTTAAACATGTAAAAAAATCTGTCACTTAAAAATGTGTGGTTCCTGATCGTTTCCAGCTCATTTAATTATTTTCAACTTGGAATTCTAGTGGCTTTTATATTCTGGGTTGAATCATATATAAAAACTTGCCAGCTCTATCAAATATGTTACTTGCTATTCCAAATGTTAGAATACTGCAATCAGGACTTGACCCATCTGTCATATAGTTTACAATATCAGCATAGGAAAAATTCAAAGAAAATAGCCTTTCCTTTTGCATACACTCAGAGAATAAATTATATACTGTGAATCTATTAACACAATAGTTTCTATTCCATTTAATAACAGTTTTTAGCAGCATTGTGACTATTTTTAATAATGCCATTTGCAGGGAAGCTGGCATATTTATCTGGACATTCTATTGCCAAAAGTCCTTGCCATTTTGCTTGCATTTTCCAGTGGGGGAAAAAAAAACATTGGTTGGCTTGTGCAAAGTAGGTTTCTGATTGCTTTTAATTCTCACAGAATTATAACACTTATCAAAGTATAATAAAGAATATTCGAGTAAAGCATTAGTTAAAGAGTATGAGTTAGGTTGGTTCCCCTCTCCATACACAGAGATAGATGTACGTAGGTACATAAACACACATACAATGCGCACGGGCGCGCACACACACACACACTCTTATTTTTAGTCTTTTAAGCTGTGTAATGATTTAATTCAGACTCTTAGATTCAAGCTACTGGTTTCTGGCTTTTTTTTTTTTTTCTTTTTTCTTTTTTTTCCCTGATAACAGGAAAAGCAAATCTATTTGTTCAGCTCCGGAGTCATCCTGATCCTTGTTCAGTGTTTACCACGGGTGGCTTTGTCCCCCAAAACAAACCTCTCAGCCTCAAGTGACAAAAATAACTGCTTTTTGGGCACTGGCCTAATGGCTTTCACTCTGATTTAAAACATAAGCAAGAATTCAACTTGGCTACTCACTGATGGCTCGTGAGCTCAACATGTAGATATAGGATGGATACGTTCCTGCCCATCACTATGGAGAGCAGTTTGTGCCAAGGTCCCTGCGTGGGAAGGGACCCTGGGGAGAGGGGACTGCACATCTCCCACCCGCACCTGGCAATTGCGTGATGGGAACCCCTCGCCACCCAGGGGACTCCGTTGGGCTCCAAAGTTGGGAGAGTCAAAGAGAGAGAGCTCCTCCTAAGAGCATCAAAGCCAGGGGAAAATCGCATCCCAAAACTGCATCCCACCACACCTCTCAGCGCTGCATCCCTCCATGTGAGCCAAGCCCCTGCATCGCCAACAGCTACCCAGCAAAAAACAGATTTCAGACTTCACGGATGTCCAGACCCCATAGCATTGAATGGGTCTGACTCGTGCAAATGCTTTTTGTCCTAGGGAAAAGTCATTAGCAGAGAAGGAAGAGGAGGAAGAGGCAAGAGATGCAGCAGCACCGGGACTTCATGAATCGCTAGTGCAGCACGTACAAAACAGCTTGGAGGAGGCTCCCGCTGTGCAGTTGTCAGCACAGTGCCCCGGGGTGGCTTTCACTTCTCTGGGAGCCCTGCGAGAGATCCCCCCCAGCGCCTTACCCCTGCTCCTGGCATCTCCCCACCGCCACCGGCTCTTGAAAACAAGCTTCCACCAGGGATTACAGCAGGTTAAGCAACAAATTCTTGCTGTAATTCTGATCCGGCCCAATCTGCACAAATATTCAGCTCTTTTGTTCATTTACATTTTTCAGACCCAAATCCAGGGCTCTTGCACAATGGCTGCAAAACCACCTGGAGCGGCAGGAGGGGAGAGGAAGAGCTCCGTCCCTTCCTCGGCGCACTGAACACCTCATGAGCCCCGACCCACGCTTTTCTTTGTTGCCTCTCTCTTGCAAGAAAATTTAAAAGATTAAGGTCTGGCTAAGGAAAGTGATTAATTTCATCCATAAATTTAAATACAAATGACTGCAATGCCCTGGGAGGCGCTGGGTCCCAGCCTTGGAGATGCTCCGTGAGGTCCCTTTCACAGGGCATCTCGGCTCCTGCTCGGAGCAATGCTGGATGGGTTCTACAGCACTTGCCAGCGATCGGCTACCGTGTGTGTGCGCGTTTTGTTTCACTTTGGCTTTTCTTTCTTCCCTGTCCTTTTCCTCTCTAATCCCTCGCCACAGCCAGTTTAGCATCAGAAATGCTCTCGTGTTCGTTGCTCACGTGTGTCAAACGGATAAGGTTTAAACACCTTACTAACCTGACAAAGTGCTTTCCTGGACAAACTTCTGCCAAAGGTTTTTAGGCTTCTGCATGATACTTGCAAATAAAATACTTGCAGAAACTCGAATTACTTGGCAAATTCTGGGCTTGTGCTTGTAATAAGCTTCAGCCTCCACTAACAGGTATGTTAAAAAAAATCTGTGCTGCTTTGGGTATGTACATTGTCCACAGTTCAGTGCGTGTGACTCTTTATGGACTGGAAGATTGTCAAACTACGTATTTCTTACTCAGCAGCACGATTTCTGCTAGATGGGCTACTAACACATCATCAACAGTGAGAATTACACTTGCAATAGCATAAGAGTATTGTTGACTTCTCATATTTTTTTAAAAGCGTAGCCACCGACTCAATGGTGTGCTTGTAATAATTAAAAAATATATGACCCCTGCCAAAGGCTTTGGTGTGTAAGTGTTATGTGTGCGTTCATTTGCAAGCCAATCATGAAAATGATAAAAAAGAGCTGCTGTTTGCAAGATAACTACAGAGAATAATGGACTTAGCTTGAGGATGAGGCAAAGCAGCCTTTTATTATATTTGTGAAAAAAATTTGCGTGTATCTGAAAGGGATTTCAGTGATGCATCATTTTTTCTTTCAAAATAAGATGTGTTATCTTAAAAGTAAGAAAAATTCATAGAGATGGGGTTTTTTTTCAACTCATAAGTAGACTCTAATTCAGCTCTCAAAACTCCACATACTGAAAAGAGAACTGATCTCCTGACTTTCTGATGATTACTCAGCCTCGTGAGGAATTTCTGCATATCTGAATTATATCTCATGCCTCAGGCAGCAAGTTGCTCTGCAGTTGGTAAGAGACTTGTAAAAAGATAACGGCACAATGCAGACCTTTGTGATTTCTGAAGCTCTTGCAATAACTTTGATACTGCTTCTAACACTGCCTTTGAAAGGGCAAGAGGAAATCTCGAAAGCGGCATCACGATTCTTTGTTAAACACAACCGAATGCCATTTCAAGGAATGGAACAAATCAAGCAGCAGTTCAGCAGCACACAAATACAGGTTGCAGTCATGCCTGAGTTAAAGTGCACGATTTATTAATTACTTCAGTTTCCACACCTGCATACAAAGACTGATGTTTTCACACATTTTGCATCCATATTTATTTGGGGAATGTAATTTTTTGTTTGGTTGGGTTTTTTTAAGCTTTGTGGTTTATCACAAATGCTGGGAGTGATTGCCTAGCAGCGTCTGGGCTGACAAATCACACAGGACCTCTCCTTGTCTCGGACCAGGCTCATCAACAGGCAGCTCAAGCCCCTGGTACTTCAGTGCGCTCGCTAAGAGTTACGGATATGTGCACAGAGCTTCCCAGGCTGAGATCCAGAAATAGGGAGGGCGAGTGACGTAAAGCGAGCATGGGGACTGTGACAAGGGCCAGTACGAATGCCTTGAAAAATACCACTGCTTCTTAACAACCTGTTGTGTTGCTCCAGTCACAAACCGACCTCTTCTGCACCCGCTTACTTGGCTGAGGACGCTTTCCATGCCTGCTGGGGCGGGCGCTATGTGCAAGATGCTCCACGGCCAGTGCCAGCTGAAGCTGACGCAGCCGAAGCCACCGTGCTCGGTCCCTCTCCTGCGGGGGCACCCGGGTCCCCAGCCTGAGGCTGGCACCTGAGAGATATCTGCCTCTGCACGGGCACCGTGGCTGCCCCTCACTGCTCCGTTGCAGCACTGACCCCCATGCATTGACCAGATTTTGGCTTTGCACCCACTCTGGCACCACTGCTGGGTGCATTTCTGAGGGAAGTCAGGCTTCCCTGCCAGCCTGGCCAGGAGGGACAGATCAGGGAGGGTGGTCCACGCCAGCGATGCAGCGTGGTGAGATGCTGTGCCGCTGGAGCCCTGCTTCCCTGGACAGGGGCCGGGGAGGCTGTGGGATGAGAAAAAAGCTGGCATTTTTAGATAGCCCAAGAGAAGGTGATTTCCCCTGGTGACAGAGCAATAGGACTTCAGTGGGTCCATCTGCTCTCCAGCTACTTTCCACCTGCAGCCCGTGCCCTATTGCTGTCCCGCTCTGGCACCGAGCAGCGAGGCGAGAGCTGCCTCCATCCCCACGTCTCCCTCACTTCTCATCTCTGTGCATCGACTCCGCAGTACCACAGGAAGCCTCTCTTTACAGAGGCCAAAACCAAACCACAACATGAGAAATACTCGGTCTGAAAACTCAAAAAAAAAAAAAAAGTCTTATGCTAAAGACAATCTATTATCAAACTGACAACTACTGCCTCGGCTGGCACCATCTCTAGAGCTGCCTGTACCCAACACCAGCAGTGCAAGGTGGCACTTGTGTCCTCTGATGCAGTGCAGCACCTTTCACAAATCCTGTGCTTAAGGGCTGGAGAAGTTACTCTTTTCTAAAGGAACGACGGATTCCCAACTTATATAAATAAGCAGACGAACACTTATTAAAAGGTCGCACTTATTAATCTGAGTGTTAGTAGTTTTGTCTGATTAATAATTAAAGCAAGTCATTCATCTTTAATTGTTTTAGCGTAGTGTTCTGTTTAATGTTCTATTTCAAATCAGTATTTTTAAAGCAAGGCAAGAGACTACACACTTTTCAGGAGAAAGGACATCAAGGGGTGACATTTGTGTGTTTAAGAAGTTGTTTTCAATATCTTATTTTTATTCTTGCTTCTGGCAAAATAAATAAAAAGTCAGGCCAAAACCCAGTCACTTTTGACTCCACTTAAGCTGAGGAACTGGTTTCAAGCTGAGTCCTGCTGACCTTGCCTGAAAATTTTTCATTTAAGACAACGGGAGATTTGTGGGCACGAAGCAGCGGAGTCACAACTCCCCGTGTCCTTTCACTCGCTCCAAGCATCGAGAAGAAGCCGTTTTATTTTTAAAGGAGCCGGGCCATAGAAACGTCCTTCTGAATTTCTAAACTGCAAGCGCGTGACGAGCCACTGCCGGCCCGCGCCGTGCTCAGCGCATTTATTGTGCTCAGCGTGAATCCGCTGTCGTTATCGGTAATAGCTGGGATTGTTCTATTTGCTGTTTGTTTATTTGCACCTCTCATAGCCGTAGGGAAAAATTATTCTCCATTTTCTAAATATTTCTTGCTACTCAAAATTAATTTTAGTGGCATGCAATAGCTCTAGATCGTGGGCCAAATTTGCGCTGCAGAGGCCTGGGGAAGCCAGGGCAGAACCTGGCCCAGCCTCCCGTACTGATTTTTAGAAGCAATTTCCCTTTGCAAACAGAGCTGAAATCAACCCAATCCTTTTTTTTTTTTTTTTTTTTTTTTTTTCTTTCCACAAAACAGAACAATCTACTCACAAAAAGAAATGAACAGTTCAGGTTTCAAGGACTTTCAAACTAGGACTCTGGGATACAACAGAAACGAGGCCAGGGGCTGCGGAGCTCCACCGTCCCTTCTGAAGAGACGGGCACTTGAGCTGAGCCTTTGCCCTGTTACATGTCACCACAGGTCATAAACGAGAGACAAACACGACTTCCGTCCCACCGGATCGTTTGTTACACATTAACAAAAAAAAAAATAGAAAATAAAGAAATAAAAAAATTAAAAACCCAGTCCTCCCATCAGGGCATAAAACAGAAGATATGAAAAACAAAAATGAACATCAGTTTCGTTATAAATGTGCTTGTTAGGTGTGTTAAATTAATGGCCAAATCACCAACATTTTTTCACCCAAAATGAGCTGCAGTTCTTTTGGAAAACAAGAAACTTTCTCTTTACAAAGGCTAGATTCTCCTCTAAAACTGTGTCCTAAGAAGATACTACATTTCTATAAGGTATTCCTAATCTACACTCTACTCTAAGGAAGGAGGAAAAGGAGATTATGTAGACAGCACAAATTAACTCCTTAAGTATTAATGCATCTCCATTTTCAGCCTGAAGGAGTACATATCTTAAGGAGCTATGAAAAAAAAAGAAAACAAAATAAATAAAACTCAACAGTCCTAGCAATTTATAATGCATATACAATTGTTCACCTGCATCCTTTTGATTCTCTATATGAAAGAGAGAAAGCAACAAGGAGAGAAAAGAGAGAAACAAGAACAGATATGCAGGATTAATGAGCAAGTGGACCGCACAGCCCCCCAGTTATGCGTGATATATGACATTTGAAAAGAAGAAAAGTCACCCCGTCTTGCCCCCCGCCCCCCCCAAAGCATGGGGTTACCAAAAGAAGCTCCTTTCACAGAGGTGAAAGAAAACGCTACACAAATCGAAAACCAGAGAGGGTGAGCTCTGAGGACACAGGGGGGACCTCCGAGTGACAGCGGGGCTGGGATGTCCCCTCCAGAGCTCGGTGCAAAGGAGTAAGTAAAAAATCGAGGAGGAGAGTGAGTAAAGCGCATCCTTCCGCTCGAGAGCTAACAGACAGGAGACACGTAAGATCTGATGTACAGAGAAAGGACAGCCTTATGCGATCTTATACACAGGACTGGGTAAAGATCTTGTACGCAGGCAAAGGGATGGCTTTTTCCAAGTGTCCTTTATCTGACCTCTAGCTCACTTCTCCCCGATGTAGCTGCTACCTTTTGATTGTGTACCAGTGACAAGCACTTTACAAATTGGGGTTACACAGAAGCAAAGTAAAAATGCATTCAGGTCACGGACGTAAAGAAGAACTGAAAAAACTTACAGACGATCTGAGTTTATCACAAACAGATGGGTTAATTGTCTAACCTGGTTCAGGCTGATAAAAAGTGACTGGACTTCTCACACTGGGTTTCACAGACAGAAGCAACAGACAAGCCAATGCTAAAAGACTTGAAGCAAGGAGAGTGAGTTGGTTTGGATCTGGACTTTCTTGAGGTAATGAGAACAGAAAGAGTGAGGACAGCATGGAGAGGAGGGTGGTAGGTACTCACGAATGGTTAAATCCATCACTTGAGAGGCCAAGCAGAAGACAGGATGCTCATACATTTCTCTCTTTTTCCCTATAAAAGAGGATTTGGGCATGCAAGAGGCTTAGGTCAGAGGTAAAGAGGTTATAGGCTATAGGTCAGAGGAAAACTTTATATTAGGTTAAAAGGAAAGTAGCCGTAGAGTATTTTGGGATACACACAGGATAAAAGGAAGGAAGAAAAAAAAAAAAAGAAAAAAAAAAATAAGGAGGGTTAAAATTGGAGATCTACTGGATTAACCATTCAGCATGCCCATGAGTCACAAGAGGCTGTGACCATGACTCTAGAGGTTTGCTCTGAACTGTTCGCAAGAATATAATGATCAAAACGTCATGAATAGAGGGAAATAGAATTCCATTGGTTTAAGGCTCCGAGATACTAAGGATTTCAGCCTTCAGTATCTAAGGCTTTCACAGGTATTTCTTCATAAGCATAGCCTCAAGCACTGCTGCCACTGATTTAGTTTTGCACCTCCCACAAAACTCTCTCAAACACGTGGCTCCTCAAATGTCAGGTTTTAAAAAGCAAGATTTCAAAGCCGCGTGCAGGGACGCATCTCACTGAAGTAAATTTGTTATTTGCTCTTCTAAGGAAGTATTTGAGCGTGTAGTGGACTATGCTCATGAGAGAAAACCTGATGCATGCAGCCGGCGGATGTTGGGTTGTTCGAATTAACAATCCCAGCATGCTTGGAAATTGGTGTTACAACCACTTTTGTAGAGACAGTATCAAAAAGTGGCTGTGGCCAATCACGGATAAAGGAGGAGAAAAGCAGAAGAGAGCAGGTAGTGTGGAATGAACTATTTCTCTGAAAAGGTAGCTGGAAAAAAAAAGGTTTGTTGCTTCAAAGTATTCCCAGACCTAAAAGTCACAGTGCAAAAAAGAGGGCAGATAATTAACACAACCAAGAAGAATTGAGGCACAAAAGGAAAAGTACACACTAACTGTTCTACTTTGGAAATGAATGCATTTTTACTTACAGATCATAAAGTTTGTTTTTGCATAGATTTATCTGAAAGAAGAGAGCAAATCTTACCAACGAGTTAGTGATATTTACACAGAGAACCTAAGGGAGCCAGCCCTGGGTAGAAGCATCCATCAACAGAAAAGCTGCTTTTGATTCTCAGTCCTTCTCCATCCTCATCAAGTATATTTAAACATTGCATTTTACAGAATACACCAATTAAAATATCCTGTGAAGTTGAGTACTTCGATAAATTGCCTGATAATACAGTGCTTATGAAACCTTTGTTCCTTCTCTATTTTTGTCACTCATTACCAAGTCAAGAGTTGATAAACATCCTTTTAGTGCCCAATTCTTAAGTGTTTCTCACTGGATGCATAACAATGAATTCATTACCACTGGTACACAATTTGCATCGTTAGACAGAAAAAAAATGGAAAAAGAGAGGACATGTCATGTACAGAACCTGGACAATTTGTCATATAACAACCCAATTTTTCATGTAAACAAGAACTAAGAACAAATCAGAGGGAGTTTGGGGTTTGTGTTTTTTTTTTTTTCTCCTCTCAATATTGTCCTAGAGGCATACAATGATAATCTCAGCTGTGGGAAAGCTTCACACCACACACAACAGAAACCCAAAGTCTAGAGCAGAACATACCATTCATCTGGAACATACAGGTTTAAGCAATCGGGAGCTCGGATAAAGTTGGGTAGGAGTTTCAAGCTGGGAACAGCAGCCGACAAGGTACCAACGTAAACCGATTAACATGTAAAGAACAACTGGATCGTAGAGCTTCAGCTAACACGTATCCTCTAGCAAGCTTTAAAATGTCTTTTTGATGGCTACATGTGTCTCTGGTCACCGGTTATTATTCTCCCATAACTTAAAAGGGCAATAATATCAGCTATGCCAGGTTTAGAGTGACAAGAAAGAAATCTGATGCAAGTATGGGATCACTGATCAATGCCTGCTATGCAAACTGCAAAGACAATGAAACACTGCAGAAAAAAGACATTTTAAATTGGCTACAAATGATTAAGCATAGATTAAACAGTTTTTCAGCTTCTTATTTTTCATTTGTTTCCTGAACTCCACTGTCACAAGCAATTAGCTGCACTATACCTTCAGCTGCAAAGATGACATCCCAAGTATTTCTCAATTTGTGTTTTAAAACCACGACATGAGTCTGAATACTACACCACTGGCCAAATGCACTAACGATCAGAAAAAAAAAAAAAGCGCTACAGTTCCTTTTAACTGTTTCCTCTCTCTTTTCCAGAAAAAGAAACGTTTTGCATAGCTTCCACTCTTAACTGCTTCCGAAGCCAACACCACAAAACCGATTCAGAATCACATCAGTTTTATTGACAAGCGAATAAATAGCAAATGAGCTTCTTTTAAATAGCTCCCAGCCACAGTTGCCTCCTAGAAATACAACAAAATTTTAATTTCAGAAAGAAAGAGCCTTACCTTCAATTTTGGCATACTCTGATAGTCGAGTATAATTGACTAGAGCTGCTTGCTCCAAGCATTTACGGATGACTGTTTTTACCTCCTCTTGAGGGACCGGAGTAACTATGTCTTTCATCAGAACCTTGACACAAGAAAATCTGATTTGTTGTGGCATTGGGCACACAGAACTGCTTTTCTCCAAGCCCAGCACATACATCCATTCCTACACTAGTGCTGCTTGGCTCTCAGAGTATGCATACAGTATGCAGGATCTGCTACAAGGTCACCCTGGCCAGCTTGAGACGTGGGACCTACCCCTGCTGTATTATTCCCCTTCTTCATCTATACCCTGTGGCATGCCCTGAGATCCATGCTTCTGATTTTTTAGGGCATGACATTAAGATCTATCACAACTTCGCCAGTGCCAGGCAATGCTATGCCCTTCTCAGGCTCTGCCAGCTGACTTGGGTTTAGGTCTGGGCTTGGCCATACTGTGTGTTAGCAGAGGTGAGAAGGATGTCGGAGCAGCAGGAAGGCAGCAATAGGGATGGGGAGGATGACGGTGAGCAGGTTTCCTATGCCCGAGGGGAATGAGCCTGCCTTGAGATGGGAATTTCACCGGACAGCAGCCAGGCATCGCTTACAAGGGTCTGCGGCGTAGATGCTTGCCAGCGAGATCCTCCACTATCGGCACAGACGCAGGCTGTGCTGCCTTTAGTGGCCAGGCTACACCCTGGCCTCCGAGCTGAAGCAAGAGAGATAACAACCCCACCTAATACCCCACATTTTAATATTAACTATGATTAATTACATGTCCTATGCAAAAACAATAGTTCCTCAAGCTCTTCTGGAGGGAAAGGTATATGAATACAGGTAATTTTAACTACTCTCTGTTATTCTCACGCTTACCCTTTCCAGCAGCGATAGAGTGGCTTTTAGCGCACCTTCTGGACGGCCGAATGGGAAGCAGTACCTAGAAAAACCACATCATGTTAACATCAGACCAGGTGCATACGAACAAGCCTTGCCAGCACTATAAAGGTGCTTTCCTAAATATGCCCAAGCAATGATCTAGTCCCTCCGCCTGGAAAGGAGTAGTCTTTCTACAAGGTAATTTTCTGAAAGGGTTTGATGGTGTGGACACTAAGGCAGAAAAACAGAATACGGGGTAGTTTTAGAAGCAGATTTATCTGGGCATCACCTGGAGAGGTTTGCGATCTCATAGGAGAGAGTTAAATATCATCTTCTCGGAAAAATGCAAAAACAAAAAGCCCCTCTGGAAAGGGCATTTACTTCCAGCCGGAGACCCGGTGATGCACCAGGCTGTGGGTAAGCGGCTGAACCAGCCCCCGTCCCTGGCAAGTGGTGGCTCCAAGGCTCCCGCAGGGACTCTGCACATCACCCGTCTGCGTGCGAACGTGTACCACCCGCCCAGGACCCGGCTGGCATGCAGGGGGCGATTCACCCCTTTTTGTGTGGGCAGGATCCATCCTTTCTATACTGTGACATCCCTGCAGAAAGCCCTGCCTGTCTGAAGGGAAAAGAAATGGCTAATAACTGAGCAGAGGGGAACAGAGAAATAAGAGGACAAGGGATTTTTTTTTTGTTGTTAAATTTTAGAAAAAAATCCACAGCATTACCATGCCTATGGGAGCAAGATGGTTTGAAATATCCTTTAAAGGTTATATATTTAAAATGATTCTCCAGCTACAAACATGCTACAGCATGAACTTCACTGCCCTGCGTAGGTCTGTGCCACTTATGCAAAATTCCTGTATGCATTCAAAACCTGCCTTTTGGCTTTGCTGCTTATAGGAGGGAGCTGGGAGGAAATCAGTCCTCTCGCATTCAGCCTGGGCTCTCTGCCTTTACCTAAAATGCGTGATCTGATTCTCCAGAAGCAAACGAAGCCGCTCCTTGATCTCTTCGAAACGCTCCTTCTCGTCTACGGTCACAGTTCCTATCCCGTCAGGCCTGGAGGAGAAATGCCACGAATGACTCAGACTCCACCTCGCCACCCGGGTAACTCACCCCCAGAACACACAGCGTGCTGCCCTTTCGGAAAGGGACGTCCCCAACTATGAGACCCGGGACAGGGGATATGCCACACCAAGACACGGGTGGGCACGGCAGCATGACTGCCAAGGTATTAAAAATAAAGAAAGAAATATCCTCTCTCCGAGTGATAATCTAGATGCGGACACCCCCACCCCTTCATTTCTCCTGCGATAGAGAAGCCAGAAAAAGCAGAATTCCCTTTTAAATATAGGTATGTGACAGGGAGCGCAATGCCAGCTCTCCCTGCAGGATCGGGCCCATTGCTGGCAAAATAGGCACTCAATTTCTGCAGGAAAATTCAGCTGCTAATTTAACACTATTCACAGTACAAAAGCATATCAACACCAGGCGTATATAAAATCAGAATACAAAATTCTGCACTCCTTCATAACCGCTGAATCACCCCATTGTAGTGATTTCTTGAAGTGAACCACCTTCAATATATTCTTCTGAAATGTGCCTCGAGAGCAACATGCATTTTGTGTTTGAAAATGCAATGCCTTTTCAGTCATTTAATTCTCATTTATATGAATTAACACATCGATACAATTTACCGAAGATTTTCTCGGACTATGTACTATGTTCTTGCGTTTCAGGAGTGCACAGGAGAGCATTGAGAGACACCCAGGTCCCGCTGCCCTGGGGCATTTCTCATCTTTCACAGAGCACAGTGTGCAGTCGAACCCTGCGGAAGCTCTCCCGGGGCTGGATGAAGCGGTGGTCCCTGCGCTCTTCCACCCCGCACCTCTGCCGATGCCAACCCATCCGCGAGCCGCAAGCTGCAATCCCCTCCTTCTCCCCCACACCCACGCAGCAAGACACGCCATGCAGCAGAATCCCGGGCGAGAGGGGAGAGCGCCTCTAATCCATCCACCAAAGGAATCGGCCAGGCAGACAATCAACGGCACCGCTTCCCGCTGCCGGCGAGCAAAGTCTACGGATTTGTGTACTCCTGGGCAACTCTGCTGGCACAGGCGCTCTTCAGGCAATGTAAGACGTCTTAAAATTGAACAAATGCTCTTACTTAAAGGCCTCCTCCAGTGTTCAGCTTAAGCTGCGTAAATCTGCAGTACTAGACTGGTTTGGCTATACAAAAGACTTGGCAAGGGATTACAAAGCTTCTAATGAACCTCCTGTCAGGGGTTAATTGGTTGGCTTTATTTTCCTCTTAAAGAATCAAAGGCCCTAAACTTAAAAAAAAAAAAAAAAAAAAGCTATAAAAAATTAAAAGCTATAAAATCTGTGCAATCACTTCTCCTTGACCCTGCATTTAATAAGCTCTTAATATCACAAATCCGAACTCTGATATTCCAACACAGGTGAATAAACCATTAAAACATTTTGGAAAAGGAACTGGCAAAACTTACATGATATTTACTGCAAAATTTTAAAACTAAATATACATTAAATAAAACTTGCAACATGGACACAGAAAAAGACTCAAATACCAGGGGATGCATTTAAATTTAAACAGCATTTAATCAGAAATCTTTGATTATTTGCCAAATTTAGCTGTGTATTAAGGAAAAAAAAAAAGGAAAAAAGATTTAGGCTGAAACTTGGATAAAATGTCTCAGCTGGGGAACACATTTCATAAACAGTTTTGGAAGTATGGATCTGGTCTCATTAGTACCTAATTAGGACTAGTTATTTTGAAGAAATGAGCAAGCCACAAAAAAACCAAATTAGATATTGAGCAAAAATTAATGTCTGAACATGCTTAATATATTTTTATTCCAAAGTTCCATAAAATATTTAAGATTCAGACAGGGATGTTCATGCCTTTTGCGATGCCGTGCACCTCGCAGCGCCTGGTTTGCTCCCAAGCGGAAGAGCAGATAACTCAAGTCAGACGGCAATAAATGCCGTACATTAAGGGGCAGGGTTGAAGCCCTCAGTTGACTTTTGGCATTCCGTTCCCTCCCTGTACTCATAACAGCTCACAGAGTGTCACTAGGTTAATTGTATCAGTGCTGACAAACGAGGTAGGAAAAGCTGCCGGCCCTGGCTGTGATTTGCTGATGGACTGGAAATGGTCTGAAAGTTATGTTACCCTTTGCTGGGTCAATAACCTCAACCGGCACGATTTAATGGCAGGATCTGACAGCTCAGGTTGGGTCACAGCCCTTTCACATGAATCGCAGTTTCTCACTGTATTCAAAGGGCTTCGGTTTTGCCAGAACTGGTTATTTAGCACTCACTCGTGTTGGACAACCAAAATGGGCTGACGTGACAGCATCAGTCGCGTCCCAGCTGGGCAACGGCAGCTCTGGAAGCACTGCTTTAAAACCACTGACCCATATGAAGATGAAGGGTGGGCTCCAGAGAGTGAACCTCTGACCAACACGGCTCTTGCCCAAGTCACAACGCCCCACGGGACGTCAACCCAACCACCAAGGCGCACGTAGACCACGTAGGCTTAACCCGTGGTCACCCCCTGGTCTTTGCCTTTCTCGAGGTCTTTGTGAGCCAGGAGGACATCAAACCCAGTGGCTCCAGCCACTGCTCCCTCCATGCAGAGCCTGCCGTGTGGTGTAAACGCATGCCACTCTCGCGTATCATGCACTGCAAACTTGAGACAATCTACAGGTCAGCTGTAGCCATTTTTGGAGCAGCGCGGATGTCTGGAAGGGCCTGCCAACCGAGAGCCATCACCACGGCAAGGACTCCCTTTCTCACCCAGCTGTAGACTATATTGCATCTGACATGATGAGCATCTCTTGAATCTACCTTTCAAATTTTCGGCAAACCATTTTCTCACTGTCCTTCACAAAGTTGACATTTTCGGCAGCATGATAGGAAAGATGTCATGTCGGCTGCTTTTCAAGTTGTTGTCACAGTGGTTAGCACCAGTTCTGTCATCTTTGCTTTCCTCACAATCCCCCATCTTGAGCCATGTCACAAATAATAATACTTCCAATGTTTTTGTCAAATTTCAAATACTATAACCCAGCTGCACATCTTCAGATTTACTAGTTATGTTAATCTTTGTTGCTCATCTTCCCAGAAGCTGAAGCATTAGGAACTCATTAATTAGTGACAAATGCAGGATATACATAGAACTGAAAAAACACTACCCAAAGCCTTGCACTTAATTTATTAGCTCGATAATTCTGAAACCTAATTAAACATTCAAGTCAAATATACTTTGAAAATGTAATCTTTTTGAGGGAACATATTTATTTTCCCTTTTGCAAGAACACAAAGGGTATATATCTTAGCATCGCTATAATTTAAGATTCACTTCCGTGCTCTAGACAATTCCAGTACATGGCGGATGGGGCTGAAAAAAAATCCCTAGGACAAGCTCAAGTCGCACCAGCTCATGCTGATGCTTATCGGCAGTTTTGTTTTCAGCAAAGGTCTCCATCTCCACTTTGATATTTGCTATTTGATCTCATGGACAGAAGCACCATCTCCTCCGGCGAGCAGCATTTCTGCAGCAAGGCTAGCTAAAATGCAGCTAGAGGAAATGGATGCTCTCACGTGCAACCCACAGCCACATCATTACCACACTCAAGCAGTGATGGGGAATTAGAAGAGAGCAAAAGGGTGAAAAAAAGTTCTGTGTGTGCACGGTATATACAGAGGGACGAAGGACAAAATGGGTTTGGGTCTACGGATTCAGGTCAACAAACAACATAAAGGTCTCCATCGCCATTTCATCCCATTCTCTACAGCTCCTGCTCGTGGACACTTGAGGTGTATGGCAGAAGCTGTGGGCAGAGAGGGAACCAGAAGGGCAAAAAAGGCAAGAAAAATAAATAAGGAAAATTTTAATTATAAGTAAACAAGTTTCAGATCACTCCTTCTGCTGCAGATTCACTATGTTGGCTCTGAACTAGTAAATTCCCACTGTAAATATTTCACATGAAAAGTTTTAAATGCCACTTTCCTAATCCCCCCTTGTTTTTAAGTTTTAAGCCACGAAAACAACAACATCAACAAAGCAGGTGGTGAAATTAAAAAAAAAAAAAAAGGTTGCAATTTAAACAGCAAAAATGATAGTCCTTGTTTAGCTTAGATGGTTTGTGCAAATTCCGGGGTTAATTATAAATTATAATTAGGACCTGTGATCCTAAGGCCACTGCTTTATTCTACAAGCCCCGCCTCCCCCCATGCCCTTTTCTAATTATACCCAGTGCCCCCGGGGCTAGTTATGCTGCTAAAACAAATATATCAAAATGATTTTTTAACAAAGACTAATATATGAAGCAATCGCATGCATTTGTATGCAATTATAAACATACAGTATAGCTCCAGTGGGTTAATCTCTTTGACATAAGCCTGTATGAAATACCATGGCGGCTTATAAATGAAAAGACATATCATCTTTTACACCTTTTATGTTTAACTTGTCTACACTTTTTTTACTGGGGAAAATATTGCTTACACGTAGCAAACAGATCTTTGCACGCACTGTGAGCCCTGGCATACAGAGCCAAGGAAAAAAAAACAATGTCAAAAACTGATGCAAATAATTTGATTTTTTAAGTAACAACTCAAATATAAAACACGTGCTGCCTTCAGCTCCCTTGCTGGTTGCCAGGTGCAGCACATATGAGCTATACAGTAAACATCGATGATTAGTGCCTTGGACGGCATGTGTCAGGGTAGGCTTTCAAAGGATCCCTCGCTGGAAGACTTGCCTGCGCGAAGTCCCACCGGTTGCACGGGGACTGGCTCTGGGGAGGTGGGCAGGACCACAGCTGCCTGCCTGCTGCCTCCCACATCTCCCCCAGCAAATCTGACCTGAAAGAGCCCACCTGTTTAGACCCCTTGAAAGAAAAAGCTTATTCAGCAAACATCGATTTTCCCCGACTCCCCTTTCTTCTGGGAATTCACACCGTGCGTGACATGCCGGTTGAAAGCCCTTTGTTCAGCCCAGCCCTCCGCCCGCTCGAGACGCCGTAGAGCATGGGAGCCATTTCATCCTCCCAACTCCTGCCTTCATTTTGCTTGGGCTCCCCTCCACGCCGCAGCGCCGAGCCAAGTCACGGCTCATCGCTTCTCATGTGTGATCTACACCCCTGACGTACCGCGGCTGAACCGGATGGTTTCTGAGCACTGCCATCCTACACCCATTGTAATGAATCACATCAGCCAGCCGCACGGAGCTGGTTATCTGCTGGTGGCTGGCAACCCACCTCCCTTCAGCACAGACGCCGGATCCTATCCGACAGACAGCCGTAACACACGCCACGTCGCCGCGGACTTATCACGGGGCTGGTCGGGACACGGAGCCGGCACCTAATGAAAGGTTACGGCACCACGTCATGCCAGATTCTAACCTGCCTTACTGCAGCCAGGGCAATTCATCTGAATGAGACGTGGAAACTAAACACAAAGTAGTAGGGGAAGCGTGTGAAGATACCGTGATAAAGCGTTCATATAATTAGTACCTCTTTTAAGGGACCGAAAATGTCCTGCTTTGGTTTTTTAACTAGCTGTATGGAAATCTTGCCTTTATGTGAAACAGCCAGATGCGTAATTAGAATACAATGGAAAAAATTACAAATATGTTACGCGGGCTTTTTGATTCCTCAAGCTTTATGACAACAATGCTATTTCTGCTGGCTTACAGTTGTAGAAAACTAATGAAAGCTAATGCTGATGTTAACTAATGGAAGAGCTACTTTCTGAAAACAAGTCTGGTGCTGTAAAATACAGCTTATAGAGGAAAAGGCAAATCACTGATATAACAAGTTAATTGACAGAGAGACTGGTAAGCGCTTGGACCTTGGGTAAATGGCCACTGAAAAACTTGCGAGAATGACGCTGTTCCGTCGTTATTAGACTGGAGGGGATTCAGCCTGGCATCCTGATTTTGACAAGCTCGGTGTCTTCCAATACTTAGCACACACACAATCAATATTTTAGTCTTATTTTTAAAAGTTTAGGATTAGCGAGCATAGAAAGGGTCTTTTTTGATGCCAACTCTAACATTTAAAAAGAAAGTTATTACATGGCTAAATCCAAAAAAGGCACATGCGAAACCAAGGTCACTCCCGAAAGCCTTCAAAAGGGGCAGCAATCACCCTTCAAGGTTTAGGCGCTAACTTTGGGCCTGGGAAAGCTGAGCTCAACTTTCTGCTCCGCAACGCCTCTCCCGTGGGCAGACAGGGAAGCAGCGGGGCTCCTCTGTCGCATCGCTTCTCCGCACGTCAAACGACGCCGGCAGAACTGTCACAGCCTCCAACGTGAGGACAGTGACAAACATGGAAACAGAAGGCAGGGAAAGACCTGGGTGATCATGAAAAACCTTTCATAATTTTACCCCAAATCATGATGTCCTCTTAAAACCACTCCTGCTTCTTGCCTTCACTAGTTTTTGGAGGGCTGGTGGTAAAGGGAAGTGACAGCCTCGATACTACGGTGATGGTACCAAAAGCAAACAGACGTCAATAAACACACAGCGTGTGTGCCTGAATAACGCTACGCCCTTCTTACCTGTCCCATAGGTAAATACACCAGAAACCACATCATCTCTCACAACGGCAGGACTCTACAAAAGGCGCCCAGCGATACCTGGTGGACAAAACCCTGTTATCAACTCACTAGTGACCACACCAGTGGAAAAGCCTCGAGCCCCTCAGTCTTAGCCAAGAGCAAGTACCCGGGGAGCAGCAAACCACGTGGATATTCAGCAGTCTTTGCCTCTCACTGGTGCCTGCCTTTCTGACAGCCTGCACGTTACATATTCAGGTGTCTGCAGGAGGTGAAACTTAGGACAAGCGATTTACATTTAACTCCATTTTTACTTGGAAAAGGACAAACAGAAAAATTAAGGGGACTGTCATGCAAATAGCAGTGATTTACAGCCTTCTTTTGGAGAGATTACGTCAGGCTTTCGGGGCTCTGCATAAGCTACATGAGCCCAAAAGAGGCGAGGAGAACCAAACCCTGGCATACAAAGCAACAGGGCTCCAAAATATCCACAACATCCCAATTTGACCGTTGCACCTTCTGCGGCCGCAGGGGCAGCTCCCAGCTGGAGCCGGACGGGCACGGAGGCATCGTCCCCGCGCTGACGCCTGTCATCCTGTCAGCCTTGACCTTCAGGCTGTCCGCAGCGTCCTCACCGCAGCCTGCCTGCCCTTCCCCGCTGACTGCGAGCGACTCTTGTCTCGCTGCCTGACCTCACGCGAACGCGATACAAACAGACAGCCCACCTCAGCTCCATCACTGTCTGCTGCTAATACAGGAGATTGATAGCCACACGGAATTAGCTCCCTGCTCGACTTTCATTACTGGGTGGCATATTCTGACTGACAGCCAACCTCATTCTGGAGAAAGCTAAACCACCCGTTCGGGTTTTTTTACTGTCGAAAAGTGAAGGAACTTCCTTTGATAAAGAAAACCGACACTTTCTCAGATTCAACAGAAAAAGAAGCCTTTGTTAAACAGAAAAATGTCTCGTAACTTGGATCTGTCCCAGACCACCGTGCATACCACCAACAACGCAACGCATGCCGCACGGCTGCTCAAAGATGCTCTGTCGGACCCTGTGCCGGGTCCCGGGGCAGGTGTGCTCCCACCTCTACAAATTTTACAAGCAAAGTTTTCAGCTCTGCCATGAACTATAGGTTTCCCGGGGAGAGCATGGCCGGCCCTAAGGCGACGAGCAACGTATGGTCGCAGCAGGTGGGAAGGGCTGTAGCTAAAGCGAACCCCGCTTCACACACGTCGCAACCGCCAGTAAGGACCGCATGGGTAAATATTGGCTTTCCATCGCTCGCTGCCAGCCAGCTCGCGAATGCATGATGCATGTGGCCTAAGCAGCTTTCTGAAAAGAAATTGTGACTCTTCCACTCAGATATTCAGGTTTCTGATAGTAGACACAAAAGATAACGCTGTCGTGTCTTCTCTCAGATCCCCTGCGGTCCCTTTTTGTGACCTCCCAACAGCAGAGGCCAGAAGCCGCACCCTGCAGCCTCCGTACCAAACTCCTCTGGCTCCCGGGCGTTAGGCAGAGCCTTCTCACCAAAAGGGCAATGCCGCAGCCTTGCAGCTCCCGTGATCCCCAGGCAGCAGAGACAGCAGCCACCAAGAAGGAATATGAACCTTCAGCCTTCTGATGCGAAGCCAACCATCAGCTGAAGTCGTAGCAAACCATCTCGTTCCTTTCTTGGAGTATTTGAAATGCATTACTCGAGCAGCCTGCCTACGGGCGAGCCCCCGTCCGGCAGTGCCTGGCGGTCTCCCGGCGAGGGGCAGCCGCCAC